TCTTGTTGTGATAAGGATACATACAGTCAACTTTGACTTATCCCTGAACCAGCTAATCAAACCATGACTGAAAGTTTATTTTGAGCTCTGTAACTTAAAATGTTCTGATTTCTTTTTCAAACCAAGCTTATAAGAATGTATTTTTTACCGTGGACTCATCAGTTCTTATTTTGCGAGACATGATTTTCATAATGGCCATGAATTTCAAGTCTCTCTACTGCATATGTGTGGTAATGCTCTTACACGTAGTTCAGTAAAGGTTTTTACAGCTGTCATCAAAATTACACACACATTACCACATCTGTTTAGCCTAATTGCATAACTGGGTGTGATTGCACCAATTACCTAGAGAGGCAATACGTGACTAAAAGTTAAAAATAAGGAAAATGGTTAGAAACAAAAATTTTTACCCTCTGTCAGCAAGTCACTCTTGTAATGAGATTTGAAGACTCAGAACAAGGTTAAAGGATTCCTGATTATTATGTTAGGCCACTGATTAATTAGGACACTTACGTTGGCTCTTACACTCCCCAAGGATTACTACATCATTCAGGCACAGTCAAACTGGCACAAGTATTGAGTCTCATTTTCTGCCCTCACAAGCTACATTGATCTTAAACATAAAGTGCCGATAGACCACTTTTCAGTCATAAGTTCATTCTCAGACTACTGATGATCTTTTTATATATTAAATTTCCAGCCTTTCATAGCTATCAACATATTTCCAAAAGTCATGTGTTTACTTACATAAATAGAATTCCAGGAAAGGGATTTTGAGCCAAATAGAGGTTAAGATATTGACTGTCCAGTGCAGTCTGTGCAGATGAAACAAAACAAGAAATTGATTTCTCCAAGATCCTGCAAGTCCAACTCAGGTAATCCATACATTAGCCCAAAACCAAAATGGATGGTGACAGAAAAATAAGCCTTCTTTGGTTTTTAGATCCAGCTGAGCAATAAAATTTAGGCCAGATCTCAAAAATAAAATTAATTTGTCTCATCTACATGTATTTCACATGTGTATTGATGGTAACCACCACCATTAATACAACAATCTTAATGAACACAAAAATTCCCTTTCATTTTTCTAAAGTCATAAATAATTTTTAGCTGTCTTTATAAGTACTACTTTTTTATTATTCACTGCCTTAGATCCCTTTACAGATTTTTTCATTCACAGCCATTAATGGGATGACAAAATCCATGGATTCCCGCAGCATAAGGTGCTTGGTGAGGGTGGGTGTTTGGTTACATGGTGGCTGCACCACAGCAGGTCTCCTGCCCCGGTACTCACATGCTGGCTGCAGTTACACCAGCCCTCTGCAAGCCCTGGATGCTCTGGCAAGACAGTAGGAAATGGGCCCATTTTATGGGTTACATGAAAAATGCCTGATATCTGCCAGGTCTACACTGGAACTGTGATTTTGAGTCTTTCACAGACTCTCTGGAATCTAACCAGAAAGGGAAAACAGAGGCAACACCTTAAATCCATTTTAGGGCTACTCCTCTGAAACACCATAAAATCTTTTTAAAAGTTGACTTTAGCAGGCCTTATGAAAGTCATCCAGCCACACAAAATCTCTCAGCCCAGTTTATAGGGCTGCGAATTATAACAAACTCCAGGTTATTCTTCTCTTCCTGAGAGCTCACAACTGGCAAACCAAGAACAAAGGGAACCAGAGCCATAGCGATCCTGGGAAAGTGAAAGCCCTCCAATAATTTTACTCATGAGAATATTAGATTTAGGAAAGCTTCCTTTTTCTTTCTTCTCTTTCCTGATCTTCTTTCTTTTTGTCTCTTTTTGACTTTGTGGAATTTTACGGAAGAACAAGGGATCATGCTGAAATCCTACAGAAAGGACTTTTTCTTTTTTCTCTTTTTGTTTTGTCTGTTAAATTTCACAAAGATTTTCCAGATCAATATAGCTAACCTGTGATAATTAAGCCGTTAATGTGGGTGGTAAATGAGGCTTAGTCAAATGATAAATAAGAGCCCATAACACGCCCTGTGCGGCTGAATTTCACAGTGTCTCACACCTCGAAGCCATCACAAGGTTACAGCAATCTGATTATTGATTGACTCTAGAGCTCTTCATTATACTTAATACTTTATGGACTGCTTCAAAACCATGCAGTACTGACTGAGTAGAGATCATTAAAGAATACCATCTGGTACATCTGTATATTAGCTTCTGAGGACTTACAGGATTTTATCTGGACAGTACTTGGAAGAATTTTATTCACATAAAAACTTGAGCTTCCTGAGCCCTTTTTCCACAGAAGAAAAGTAGTGGAAATGGTGCAGCTTTCCCCCACGCTCGCGCTCCATCTTGAGTCTGAAACTCAGTGCTGAAGAGCCTTCCCTCAGGAAGATATCTATCTTTAAGTCCTTGTGTATCACAGTCAGCCTCAAAGTTTCTCCTTACTTGCTGCAACCCTTTCCAGCGGCTTAAGCTTCAGCACAATTTGAGTGGGCTGGAGTTTTTTCTTTGCCTTCAGTCTGGCCACAGTTTCCCAAGACTTCTGTGAAACGACAGGCTCAATTTGTCTCCATAGCCCATACCCTACCGATAGCGTGGACATAATGACAGCTTTAGCATGTGGACATGTCTGCCAGAGACTGGGCACAACAGAAGGTAAAATCTGTGCTGGCTTATTTGTGCTGGTTATAATTCTATGCCAAAGACAAATATTAGCCCAGAGAAAAATTTTTAAACAATAGTGTCAGAGTTATTGGCTATTTTCCTTCAGTTGCTCTTGTCACTGTCACTCCCATGGGATTCTACTGTTTAAATGCAGATGTCTGCATCTGACCTTGCTGTTTAAATGCCGTTACGGGTCAATGGAGACAAACATACCCTTCTGACTTGTACTCTCATCCCAAAGTAACATCTAAAATAGGTCAGATGACTCATGTCTTAGAATAAGCACTTGCCTATTTGTAGGCATCCATTGACTCCAAAGGGTACCTAAGGACTAACTTAGACATAAGCACTCACAACACAGGTTTCTGAAATTAGCTGAAATGAATCCCCTTGAGACAAGTATTTTCAAGTTTAAGGTTGTATTTGTACAAACAGGCTCCCCTCCACGTACTTAGTACATGACGGCTTCATCGCCCACCCCAAGATTGACTTTCTCAGGCTGTTGAAAAACATAGCCTTGGCTCCTGGGGGATGGAGGGCAGGCACTGCAGGAGCATCCTCGTCCAGCCTGGAGAGTGAGTTGTTTCATCTCCGAGGGAATGGGACATGCTGAGTTTTATATTACCCCTAAAATTTCCAGAGAAACTTAAGGGAAAATAATACATCCAATGCATGAAACCTAGTGTAACAATAATTCTAGGCTCTTAACTTTGCAAAAAGCCAAAGTTAAGCAAGTGATTACAATATCAAACATTTGCAAATAGAGAAGAAAATCCATTATCCACACTCCTCATATGTTATGTTGCCTTGTCCTCAAAAGCTGTCTAATCTCTTTCTTTTATTAAAAATTATGTTTTCTCCTTTGCTGCTTCAGCACCATTGCTAGGTTGGAGGTGGTCCTGTTTGTTCTCCCTCTCTCCTAACACGTCAGAACATTTTTTAATTTGCTTTTTCTGTTATTGTCCTTAATTATAACATTATTTTTACTTGAAAACCTTTCTTACACATTTTTCACATCTGCCTCAATAATATATCACAAAAAATACCTAGCAACATATTAGATTCATGGGGTGGGAGTCAGCTTAAGACTAAACCACAAAAAGTTTTGTACCTTCTTGGGAGCTAGGCATTGCAGCCAATACAAATCTTGTTAATGTAGTTAATGGAGCCTCAGGATTGACTCAGATAGCAGCCAGGCTACTTCAGGGTGAGGTTTAGCCCCCTCTAAATCCTACCTATATCGTCCATCAGGCGTCAGGCAGCACTCTTCCCCTCTATGCGCACACTTTTGGTTTGGCAGGAGCCCACAAGAATAATGTAACACAGACTCACGTGTGTGCAAGGAGATGAAATGAAGGCAACCCTGCCTATTTTATAAAGCCCTGGTACGCCTTATGACGCTCTTTCTTCTGTAGTATCTAAATTAGTTGCAAAATCCCATCTGTGGATCTTCTCAGAGATAAGCCCTGAACTGAGTAAAAATAAAATCATAATTCTAAACTTTGCTAAGCCTAAGTCATATTTAGAACCTGCCAGAGCCTTTATGTGGTAACAAGTATGTGACAGTGACCCAGAAAGAGAAATGTCCAGGAATTATTCATGCAGTAGGTTGAAGAAACCTCCTCCCTCTCCTCTTGCGCTCCCGTAGAGGAGAGGACAGTGATGCATCGGGGCTGTACACCTACACCTGCACCCAAGCCATGGTCCATACAGTGCCACTTGTTTCTCATGGCAAATTTCTCTGCTTTAGTTCCTTAAATGTCACCATGAGGAAACAGCATTGTCCTAACAGGAGTGGAGGATAAGTGTGTAAAACATGAGGCTGTATGATTTGTTTTCAGGGAACGGATAAGAGTCAGCAAATAGCTCATAGCTAGATGTCAGGCTGTGAATAAACTAGGCTACGGAGGTTATGCACAGAAGGATGATCAACTAAAATGTATATATTCTGAGAATACAAATTGTTCAGTTTAGGTAGCCTGTGGATTTGCCCTGCAGCAGTATGTTAGGGCCTTAACAATCGGACAAGAAAAAGAATTGCATCTTAAGTTTCTGCACTATTCTTGTAAACAGCCTTGCTGTCAAATCATTAAATGAAGCCTTATTGCCCATCTTTGAAAAAGCCCAATTTCAGCACAGTTAATTGAAACACGTGGCAGGGGAGGGAAGGGAAGGGAAAGAAGAAAAGTGATCTCCGCGCTTTGAAGTTATGAGGGACTTTGGAATGGTTCAGGTGAGAGCATTACCAGAGAGAAGTGTCGAACCCGATCTGTCTCTATGTGAAGCATTTTATCAAGCTTTAGTACTTGATGTGTTGCTTGTCAGCTTCAATCTCTTCTCTTTCTTCTCTCATCAGGAGGCCAAGAAGACTGCATCCTTTCTTATGAACCTGTCACAAGACAGGAAAGTAAGTTTCTTCTGCTTTTCTGTCACTGTTCCTTATATATTTCATTTCACATTTTGGGGGCCAGCAGAGCAGTAAGCCTTGCTGTGCCAGCCCCAGATTCTCTGTGGCTCCTTTTTCGTGGCCACTCGGCCTATCGTATACAAAAGAAATGATGTAAGGCTCTCCCTCGCTAGCCCCCACTTCCTGACGTTCTCAGGACTCTCCCCAGTACGCTCTCATGGCCTTTACTAATAAATAGGTTAACCAGTCTACAAAATATTGATGCAGATTTTCTAGATTTACTGCAATACTGTTGCATGGGAAGTCTTTATTATCTTCCTTCTCATGCAATATGTGCCTCTGACCAGGGTAGATGATCCTACAGGAAGGCAACTGAAAATGGGAGCACACCCACCTGATTTAATGGGGGGGTGCACTCATATAACTGAGGAGAAAAAAAATCCTACAATATCCTTTCCATGCCTCAGGAGAGAGTCCATCTGCAAGCACTTGAGAGTGATCTTGTTGAGCAATAGCAAATATATACATTTCCACATAGTTGTTTGACTACATGCGCATGCACCATCACAGAGCTCTGCAAAATGAGTGGTACTCATTCCTTTTTCCTTATCCATGTCAATAAATAAATTATTCATCAATAAAATGTACACCTAAGTTTTCACTACATACATAAAGGCAACAACTGTGGTTGGTGCATCTTTAGGAAGATTTACTGTTATTGCCAATAAGAGCATCAAAATGTGCCTTTCTTTTTGTTGTTCAGTTAATTACACCAGGCCGGTTATTATTCTGGGTCCTATGAAAGATCGGATCAACGATGACTTGATATCTGAATTCCCTGATAAGTTTGGGTCGTGTGTACCACGTAAGTATGATTTTACTCCTTCTTCTGCAGCTGAGTGAGCTGTATCCCTTGGTGCCACACATTAAGTGAATTGCTGTGAATGCAGCATCTGTGAACATATCTCAATATGTAGTTGAGTTTCTCAAAAGCCATTTTTACATTGGACAAAAAAGGGGAAAGGAACAAACAAAATAAGATTGTGAAGGTCTGGAAAGAATGTCTCAAAAGAACTGTCTCAAAAGCTGTAGCATTTTTTTAAAGAAGGAATCTTCTAGCCACTAACTCAATTGACTCATTAATTAATCTGTGGTTTCTTAAATAAGATTAAAGTTTGAAATACTGGTAAAATGTTTCAACTTAATTGCACAGCATCCATCAGTAAAAATATGGAGTAATCTGTGATTTGTGTGAGATCGAGACTGTCTAATCTGAAAACAATAATGGACCCTGAATTAAGCAGAGTGTTTATATCTCGGATCATTGGAGCTTGCTGAGTGTTATTTCAGACCCTGATTGCAGTCTTACTTCATTTTAAACTGTTGTCTCTGCAAATACACCAGCTTAAAACTGCTAGAGATGAGATCAGAATCAGCCTTATAATTAAGCCTAAATTAAATTGATGAGATTGCCATTCATTCTATTGCTGTAATAGGATTAGATTTACAATCGGGAATGCATCTTGTATTTGGGGTTTGTGTGTGATTCTGCTGAAAAAAGCGGAATTCTGGCAAATCCTAATTTTCTGTT